GGAGGAGGCTGGCACCCTGATGACGATTGTAAGGCCAACTGGCCCGAGGCAGGGGAACACAATCAGATTCACAGGTTGCATCAGACCGAATTCTCCGGACCACCCAGTTCCAGAAACTGCCCTGGAGACACTCCGGACCACCCAGTTCCAGAAACTGACCTGGGGACTTTGAACCCGGCCCAGCCTTCCCGCCTTTCGCCTTTCGCAGGGCAGGACAAACCCTCCCCCAGGATACCCGAAAAGACCCCCGAATAAGGAATACCCTGCGCCCTCCCAGATTCACCACACCCCTTTCCCTTCTTCCCCTATAAAATCTTGCCCAACCCTCGCCCAGGTGCGACTTCTCTGGCCCCTTTCTCTCGGAGCAGTGAACCTCGCCCGGGAGCGCTCCCCAATAAAGCTCACTTGAAGCTTTCCTCGGTTTCGTGGTGCCCGTTTGTTAAGATCCGACCTTACAACGATGGAAAAGTACCTGCAGGGCTGGCTCATACCATCTGCCTGCAAACCTTGAGGCCATGGAATCTCTGGCTATGAAAGAATCCCGGTCACCAGCCCCTATCTCTGCAGCCCCTCCAGCAGAAGGACCCCCATCTGGCTGGCCCTCAATCATTAAAGACCGAACACTTTGTGACCCCAGGTGATTCTGATACTCAGCCGAGTTGGGGAACCCCTGACCCCCTGAACACAGCCAGTGCTGCTGGAAGCTCTGCGTCACAAGCCACTATTTAATTAGTTTTTATGTTGAATTAAAATCTGTGCCCCTTTAAGTCGATCACTAGTTCCACTTCTCCCTCTGGAGCAACACAGAAGGAATACACTTCCTCTTCTCCAGGACTATCCTGTAAACACTTGAAGTTAGCGCATCGAGTGCCCAATATCCATCTCTTATCCAAGAAAAATGCCTCTATTTCACTTGAATATTTCTCACCCATTTTATTTATTTCTCCATCATTTATTAAGAGGCGATAATGTGCACATGACATAACAGAGCCTGTCCACAAAGTGTCTGTTAAAAGAGTAAATAATGGGGGCTTCCCTGGTGGCGCAGTGGTTGAGAGTCTGCCTGCCGATGCAGGGGACACGGGTTTGCGCCCCGGTCCGGGAAGATCCCACATGCCGCGGAGCGGCTATGCCCGTGAGCCATGGCCGCTGAGCCTGCGCGTCCGGAGCCTGTGCTCTGCTACGGGAGAGGCCACAACAGTGAGAGTCCCGCGTACCACACACACACACAAAAAGAGTAAATAATGACTCTCATACAAATATAAAATAACTACATGTCAAAGATTTGATTTAACTCATGAATAAATGAGGGAACCAGTAGATATTAAAAAAAATAGTTTAAAGGAGAATGCAAAAGAACAATTAGGAATGCTGAATGGAATTTGTTAATAGATGCAAAACTGAGGGAGGGAATCCGTTTGATTGTGCTTCTACCCAAAGAAGTTCATTTGCATATACATGGACAATCATTATTTGCATTACTATCGATTTCTACAATGCACAGAGTAGTAAAATACCCTGAAGACTGTGAAAGGCACAGACCGCTGCAGATCTGACCTCTGGCAGGGTGATTAGTCTTCACCTAATTCCATAGAACACCAGGAATACTTTGTAATTCCAAAGACTTTTCAGTTTTTCCTGACAGATCATTGTTTCACTAAAAAATCCTGAATATTCAAATCTCAAACTGTCCTTCAAGATTGACTAAAATGCCACTTTATCTGGTCTTCCTCAGACTAAAAGATAATTAAAAAAAATAAAAGGTAAAATCATGACTCACATACGGATATAAAAGGAACAAGTTTTAAAGATTTTATTTAACTTATTAATTAAATGAGGCAACTAAGCATACGTTATGACTGATTCAAAGGAAAAGTCAAAGAGGCACAGATTTATATGAAGTAAAGAATAAAGAATATTGAAATGAATGTGCAAACGGACTCAACTGGCTTCTCCACGGTGGGGAGGGAGATCCTCCGCCCCACACTGAACAGAATTAATTTGCATGTAGAGAAAAATTATTTTGCACTGTTACTGTTATCTACAACTTTGGTTGTAAAATGACTCAAAAACAGTGAAAAGCTGGAATCAGATAACTTGGGAGGAGGTGCTCTAAACCAGACTTTCTCAGCCTCGGCATTACTGACATCTTGGGTGCTGACTAACAATTGTCACTTCCCATCTGGTTCTCAAAGTTGCTGACCTTCAACACCCGCTGAAAGGAGTTCAGGGTGGAGATCAGGAATGAGGCGCTCTGTGCTCTGAGAAAAACTGGCAGAACAGGCCTTTAGATAGTTAGATATTTTCAGGAGAAGATTTTATGAGCCCAATTTCTTGCACCTTCTCACATCTAGGAAAGCACTAAAACCATTCATGGAGACATCTCCTTGTGACTAGCTGCAGCCTTCTGCCAAGATGTGAGCTTGACTGTATGTATCCCCCGTCACCAAAATCACATGTGTACTGTCCTCCCACCTCTTCGGAGCAGTTCCTCAGAGCTGATAGGCTGTCTCCCAGGCTATAATTCTCATTTTGCCCCCAAAAAACTTAACTCACAGCTCTCACGTTGTGTTTTTTTCTTTCTTTTTTTCAGTCGACATGGACCACGTAATTCTTTGTTTTGTGGGGAGCCATCCTAGACGTCCAAGATGTTTAGCAGCATCCCTGGCTTCTACCCAATAGAGGCCAGTAGCACCCCATCATAACAAAAATTATCTCCAGACATTGCCAAGTGTCACCCAAGGCCGGGAGGAGGGGGCAAATTCACCCTCAGTTAAGAAATACTGCTCTAGGGCTTCCCTGGTGGCACAGTGGTTAAGAATCCGCCCGCCAATGCAGGGGACGTGGGTTTGAGCCCTGGTCCGGGAAGATCCCACATGCCACGGACCAACTAAGCCCATGTGCCACAACTACTGAGCCTGCACTCTAGAGCCCGCGAGCCACAACTACTAAGCCCACGCACCACAACTACTAAGCCCACGCACCACAACTACTGAAACCCGCACGCCTAGAGCCCGTGCTCCACAACAAGAGAAGCCCACACACCGCAATGAAGAGTAGCCCCCGCTCGCCACAACTAGAGAAATGCCACGCGCAGCAATGAGGACACAACGCAGCCAAAAATAAGTAAATAAATTTAAAAAAAATATTAAAAAAAGAAGTACTGTTCTAAACAGTGCATAGCTTTCCACTGAAACACGAATTCTTCCATATTAGCACAGAGCTGGAGAGGAAGGGACGACCGCACTCCATTCTTGTGTATGAGCCAAGAATCTCACGCTACCTCTTCAACGAGCAGAATGGTCACAATGGCCCCTAACACAGGCAGTGTTCTAAAGGCTTTACCAATATGGACTCCGTCCTCCCAGTTAAAAGTGAGTTTCAGATAAATAGCAATTAGAGAAGAAGAAATTTTCTTCCACCCTTCTATGTTCTTCCGGCTGGTCTAAAAATTAAAGTGACATGAGGCAGGTTAACAAGAGAAAATCAAATAAAAGTTTAATACCACGTATACATGGGAGAGAGCCAGAAAAACTGAGTAACTCGCCAAACTGGCTGAAGCCCTCTCCTTAAACACCATCTTCAGCTAAAGACAAATGAGGATGTTGGTGGTAGGGGTTTGGGACTTCAAAGGGGCAGAAGACAATTGACTTGGAGATGGAAAAGCAAATGTTTGGTAAACAGATGTTTGCTGGGCCAGGTGGAGACAATGGGACACAGGGAGGAATCTGGTCTCTAGGCCAGTCTTCCCCACCACAGTGAGCCCACATTCTTTGCACACATCTCTGGTGATGGCTCTCTTCTGAAAAGAGGCCCTTTATCTAAATTCTTTAGGCAGTTACCGGGAAGGTCAAAGCTTCTTCCTGCGTCTTTTGGGCCTTGACTGTTTTCAGCTCAAAAAAATCCACATGCCAGAGAGATATTTTGGGGTGGCAAATTTTGCTCCCCTACGTAGGAAATAATTTTTTAGTTTAAGTATGCCCCCGTGCAATATTTGGGATATACTTATACTAAAAATCATTAGTGTTTACCTGAAAATCAAATTTAACTGGGTGCGTTACCAAACGCAAGTTCATGTGCCTGACACACAGCGAGACCAAACAAACCGAAACAGAGTTTGGAGCAGAGAAAGATTTGTTGCAGGGCTATGCAAGAAGGCTGTCTCATGCTTAAAATGCCCCCAACTTCTCCAAGAAGTTCAGCAAAGCATTTTTAAAGGCAAGATGAGGGAGGGGCATGGTTGGTTGTTGCAAACTTCTTGGTGTTGGAATCCTTCCTTCTTGTAGCTGTTCATGTTGGTCAGGTGAAGATGTTCCTGTAAACCTCCAATGAAACAAAAGTTATTCTCTGTTTTGCAACTTTTTATCTCTATATGAATGTACTCTTAAAGGTCAGGGCCCTGAGAATAGGCTATCCTGTATATTTCAGGCTGTAGATAACATTCTTTTACAAAAGGTTCGGAGCCAGCATGACTAAACACAGGCAACAAAACAGGTCTAATATGGAGTCAGATTTGTTCTTTCCTATTACAGGTGGATGTATTTTTATTTGCCAAATCTAGCCACCCTATCTGTGATCATATAGCTAACCAGTAGCAGTGTGTAGCTACTGGTCATGATTGTAACATGCCTCTGGTGACTTAGAATTCCTGTTCTGCCTCTAATTAGTTGTGCAACATTGGATGATGTCATTGAACCTCTCTGATGCTCAGTTCTCCCATCTGCCAATTGGGACTATAGCGGAGGGACAACCTTCTCACAGAGCTAATTTAGTCCCCTGGAGCTCTCTCCCCGATCTTCTGACTCACAGGGTGTGTCCTGGAGAGTCAGGACAGCCCCAGCCTCGCGTTTCGCCCAGGGTTGGGTTTGAATCCCCACTTTTCCACCAGGACGCCCAGGTGCACGGCGCGAGCCGGCTCGTCCATCCCAGGCGCCGGCCGCAGGTAGCAGCACCGGACCCGTGGGCCGCCGCCGCCGTCCTCCCGCCGGCGCTGTGCAGGCGGCCGGCCGGCAGGGTCTAGGGCCGCGCGCCGAGCTGGCGGGGAGCGGCCAGGCCACGCCCCGACGCGCGGAGTGCGCTGCCCTGCCGGGTGAATCATCACCCGCGGCGGCCGCTCCCAGTCCCGCTGCCGCGCGCCGAACCCTGGCCGCGCCCCTGCGGAGCGACGCGCAGAGCAGCCGCTGAGACTCTCGCTCGCGCAGCGCGGACACCGGGCCGACCATGGCGGGCATCGCGGTCAAGCTGGCGAGGGACCGGGAGGCGGCCGAGGGGCTGGGCTCGCACGAGAGGGCCATCAAGTACCTCAACCAGGACTACGCGGCGCTGCGGGACGAGTGCCTGGAGGCCGGGGCGCTCTTCCAGGACCCGTCCTTCCCGGCCCTCCCGTCTTCCCTGGGCTTCAAGGAGTTGGGACCCTACTCCAGCAAGACCCGGGGCATCGAGTGGAAGCGGCCCACGGTAGGCAGCGGGCCCGCGGCGGGATGCGGGGCGGGCGGGGCGCGGAGACCGGAGGCGCAGCGACCGGGCCTCGCGGCAGCCGAGAACCAGGCCCAGCGCGCGGGGAGCCCGGGGAGCGCGCAGAGCCGAGCCCCGCAGCCGGGAGCCCCGTCCCCGCGCTGCCCAGCCGGGGACTCTGCAGGCGCGGGTCGGGGGAAGCTCCGCGGTCGCCCGTGTCCCCTCTGCCACCCACGGCGCCCGCAGGACGGGCCGAAATGCACGCTGCCCGTAAATCCCACTAGCAGTCCCGCCAAAAAAAACTCACAAAAACTGGGTTGATATAGGGGGAACCTGGAGAAAACTTGTTGGACTCCGGTGGGGAGAGAGTCTGCGGAGAAGGGAGGCAGGGTGCCGGGGGTGGGGTGGGGGTGGGGTGAGTGAGACACTATCCAACCGGGAAAAGTCGGTCTCTAACTCGGTTAGGCTGCTTCAGGAAGGGAGAAACTCCACGCCTGGCCTGGTCCTTTGTGACTAAGGATTGCCTCATGCAGCCACGGTTAGATTTATCCAGTCGGAGTTTCCTGTTTATTTTTCCAAATGGGGGCCGACCTCCCTGTAACATTTACCCTGGGGATTATCAAAAGGACAGGGGAGATGCAGCCAGGAGCCAGTTCCTGCACCTTACTCACCCTCCCAGAATCCTCACCCCTGCATCTCAAGGGCCCCTCGGTGTTCCCTTATCCCGCCCCGCTGGGTCTCTGTCCTCCTTGCCCTGGCAGGCCTTGGAACAGTTTCCTTCCTGATTAGTTTGTCCATCCTATTTCCCCTGGAACCCCTCCTGACCCCATGTCCTATGGGACACCTCACCGATCTTCCCCCACCAAACCTCAAGGAGGCTTCCTGGGAAATACAGGCTCCAGACTCCTGTTAGGGAAATAAACATTCCCGCTCTGCTCCCACTTCTCTGAGCCCCTCACCCCCACCCGCTAGTCACCTTCTGTTACTCCAAACCCAGCCCGTAGGCAGCAAGTTCAGTAGGAAGTGTCCTTGGCCTGGAGCACTTGAGTTCATTTCTTGCTAACCTGCGTGAGCCGTTTAACCTCCCTGCCTCCGTTTCTTCGTCTAAAAGAAGAGGCGATGCCTACATAGTTTCCTCTCCCCACTGGTGCACCAGGCCCAGCACCTTTTAGTTTCTCAAGGGCACCCATCTCTTTCCTGCCTCACCTGCCAGGGATGCTCTTTCCTGGTTTTCTGGGGTCTGGCTCACTTACTCTTTGGGACTTAGTTAGATGTCACCTCCCCAAAGAGATCTTTCCTGACCATTCTTAGCAGCCCCCTTCTCATCTTGTTATTCTTTATCACTGAACCCTGCTAATTTCCTTCATAGCATTTTCACAACTTATAAATGTAATTACATATATTTGTTTGTCCTTCCTAGTGAACTGCAGGGACCATGTGTGTATTGTGCACCAGTCTATCCCCAGTGCATTCAGAGTATGCATTCATTCGTTCATTCATTCATTTAACAATACTTATCGAGTGCCTGTTATATGTCAGGCAGTGTCTTAAATGATTGGGATACATCTGTGAACAAAGACTGACTATTTGTGGAATGAGTGAATGCAAGACTAATTAGCTTCAAACAGAATTACAGCTGTGAAAGTGATAAACGAGAATGTATTCGCCTTACATTTGTATAGCACTTTACAGTTTACAAAGTGAATTTACATACTTCTTTGCTTATTCTTTCATTCACTCAATAAGCGTATCTTGAACACCTACTGAATGCCAGGCACAGTGCATATGGTTTCTGCCCCTGAAGGCTTTAGGAGCTAGTGAGGGGACCACAGACAGGTCACCCAACAGTTGGAAATGCCTGTAGGACTTCCAGATGGGGAAATAGAGATCCGAGACCATTTTAGGGCCCCAGATTAGGGCGGGACAGGGTGTGCACTGCACACCCAAGGGGGAGGGTAGCTGTTATTGTCCCATTCAGCAGTTGAAGAAATTGAGGCCGGGGGAGGTTAGCTATTCGCTCATACAGGTGTCTGGGGTGGAGCCAGGACTGTGTCCAGCCTATGGGTGTCCGAGAGCCACAGCTCACAGCCGCCCTCTCTGCCTTCTCCAACACCACTGTGGTTCGGGTCAGGCAAGGCGAACAGACACGTGTCCACTGGATCTAGATGGAAGCAAGTCATTGGTAACTGTAACAGAGCAATTGCAGTGGCATAGAATTGCAATGGGGTAGAAGCCGGATGGCTGTAGACCCCAAAGTAAGGAACCGGAAATGAAGAGCGTGCCCAGCTAATTCCAGAAGGGGACCTGTGAAAGGAGAGGAGGAAAAGTGTCAGGGAGAGTGGGACCTGGGGCTTGAGAGGCTGGTTTTCAGATGAGAGCAATTGGAATGTGTTATATGTCGGGTCCCAGAGAGAAAAGCAGCGGGGAGACGGTGAAACGGAGCCACCAGGAAGTGAGAGTAGGGTTGCAGGAGGGAGGCAGGGGAGCAGGCCAGCCCTGGAGCGGGGGCTGCTCCTCTGGCCACAGAGGGCTGGGGGCTGGGAAGGAGGCTGAGGAGCACAGGGCTGCAGTCCCTGTGGCTGACGCAGAGGCACAGCGAGGAAAAAGCCGGCACCACCAGTCGGGTGGGAGCGAGGGCAGGTGTGTGAGTCCCCACCTTACCCTGAAACATCTAAGGCTTCTGAGTGGTTTATGATTTGTTTATACTCAGCTGGCTGAACTTAGCCTCACACCTGCATCTCCTGCCTCAAGTTCAGTGATTATGATCAACTCCTCCAGTAATAATTAATAGTAGGTGACTTTTATAGAGCTCTTACCAAGGCATGTGGACATAGTCATCTCATTTAACCCTCAGAACAACCTGATGTGGTAGGTACACTTGTCAGCGCCATCCCCATTATACAGATGAGGAAACTGAGGCTTAAAGAGGTGAAGTAACTTGCCAGGGTCATAGAACCCATATAAGAAGTGACAGAGCCAGAATTCAAACCCAGGTTGTCTGACTCCAAGGCCCAAGCCCTCAACCCCTTTCCTGGGACTGTTAAGTTCCGTATTTAATTCCATGCCCTTCGTGTTGTGGACAAGTTTCAATTTCCTGAAGCATCTCTAAGGGCCACTCTAAACTTTTCCTTCTTTGGAGAGGGTGCCAAAGGTGTGAGGAAGTTTCTCAAATATAGTGGAAAAATCCTTCTAGGGTAAGTGCCTGGCACACTGAAGATTGTCAGTATGATTTTTGGGCTCCCAGCACCAAACCCAGTCTCTTCCATCAGCAGGATAAGTGTTTGGCTGGCAGGCCTTGGGCCAAGCTGGCTTCATTTGCCTCCGCAGAAAAGCATTCTCACTGTCCCTGTCATTCCCCCAAACAGCCCAACCTTAACAGGGAAGGGACAGTGCAGAGGTGTGAAAGGAGTGTGTTCTGCTGCGGATTCCAAAAGAGCCTACAGCCTAAGCTGGGATGGCCAGGGTCTAGATCCAGGCCTCACCCAAGAAAAGCTGCTGCCTGACAGGGAGGGGGGTGGGGGGATGGGTACAGGGGGCTGGGCGCTCTGGGGTGGAGCTCTTACCAACCAAGGGGTCCCGGCCGAGGGAAGCCCAGATTCATGCCCTGACTTCCTCTGTGGTTTTGGGGTGGGGCTCTTCAGAATCAGGAAGCATACTCAGAGGGGGCTGCAGAAGGGCCAGCACTGTTCAGGGTTAGGTTCCAGCAGGCGACTTGTGGGACAGCCCTTGGAGGCTTGTTAGTAATCCATTAGGGGCAGGGCAGGAGGGAAAGAATATATGGTTTACACCGGTGAGTTCAAATCCCAGTGCCATCTGCAGCTTACGAGCAGTGTATCTTGGGATATGTGGCTTTATCTCTTAGCCTGTCTCCCCACCTGTGAAATGGTGTCGGTGTCCATCTGTGCTCCCGGAAGGGCTGCCTGAGATAAAGTACCACACACAGTATTGACACACAGCAGGCTCACGGTATGTGGACCCCCCAAGTATCATGGCCTGTGGACGAATCCAGAAGGCTAGATACCTTCCCCTGCCCTCAAGAAGCGTGTGAGTGTTAGGAAGACAGACTGGTACCCAGCACCACCACATAGCACACAACTAGCTGCTAAATTGCAGAGTACACATACTCTGGGATTCAGGATCAGAAGGATGGGTGAGGGCTGGACTGTGAAGGAGAGCTTCGTGGAGTTGGTGGCAGTGGGTCTTGAGATATGGTAAGATGTGGAAAAGGAGAGAAGAGCGTGGGAGAGGGAGGAATTCCATGCAGGAACAGAGGAGAGGGACCGGCATAGCGGGCAGGGCAGCTCCAGAGCGTGGACCGTCTCGAGGTCCCCAGAGGAGGCTGGACTTGGCACTGCCCTGGCCCTGGGAAGGTAGCGTGATGAAGTGGGCTGTAGGCAGTGTGGAGCGTTGGGGTCCCGTGGCAGTCTAACTGTAACTGCATAGCTTTCCCTAGAGGGGAGGGGAAGGGGCGGAGGGGGTCCGATGCACCTTCTGGGAACCGAGGTGTCCTGACTACAGAAGCACGTGGCAGGTGGGTTGACAGCACTTTGTGGGTCTCGTTTCCAGGAGATCTGCGATGATCCACAATTTATTACTGGAGGGGCCACTCGCACAGACATCTGCCAAGGAGCCCTGGGTAAGTGATGGCATCTCAAACAGGCTACGGGAGCTTGTCTGAAAGGCTGTGGGTAGAAGGCGTGAGGGATGATCTATGGCTCCGCTCCCTTGCCAGAGAGTTTGGCAATTTCCAGTTCTAGAAGCTTCCTGGAATGTCTTGTCCCCTGAGGACCCGGTGCTGCGGCGGACAAATGCACAGATGTGCGGTGAGGCCTCCTGGGTCCCCTGCCCTGGGCTAGTTGTTGAAGTTACAAAGACACTCCCACTAGAAGACGGAGGAGCTTCTGCATCTCAGCCACCTTTGGTGTCTGTATGTCCCGGGGCCCGTGTTGCTAGTGGCCCACGGAACAGTCAGGCTCTGGGCTGAGGGCCAGGTGGGAGGCCTAGCCCAGGCCCGGTTGCAGCACTGAGACATCAGTTCTCTGGGGTTCAGGGGTGGGATGGTGACTCAGTGTGTGGAGGAAGAGGAAACCCTCACACTCACTGCTGGGAGGAAGTTAACGTACCAGGGCATTCTCAGTGTTTGCAGGACGAGCTCACCATGGTATCACAACAGTGAATGTGGGCGCTTATTGTCACAGAGGCAACTGAAATGTTCATTTAAGTAAGTTCAACTGGAGTGGCTGAATCGTGAGGGTCTGAAACTTTGCCCTCTGTAGCTGAGCTCTGATTTTCTGGACATAGTGCCTGCTGAGATTGGAACCTGCTCCAGCTTTGGCATGAAAGCCCCCAAGTTTTCTTTTTTTTTTCTTTAATTTATTTCATTGAAGTAAAGTTGATTTACAGTGTTGTGTTAATTTCGGCTGTACAGCAAAGTGATTCCATTATACATATATTCTTTTTCATATTCTTTTCCATCATGGTTTATCATAAGATATTGAATATAGTTCCCTGTGCTATACAGGAGGACCTTGTTGTTTATTGCTGTACAGGACCCGAGGGTTCTGCAAAGAAGTCTTAACGATGGGGCCTGGGACCACTATTTAAGATTCTCATAGAATCCACGCTCATTTTTTTTACTCATAATAGATACGGGCCTATGATCGCTGGAGGATATTGTTTGCTGCGAATAACCAAACACTTGTTTCGAGCCATCAGCTCCAACTTGCTTTCCAGACCAGTCTATCAGTAACAAAATTAATCATCTTGAATTGTACCTTCTTTCCTGGCCCACCCAGCAGAGGTTCTGTCCTGGGAGTGACTTGTTTGAGGTCATCCAACAGCTGAAGTGAGGGCCTGGAATGCAAATGCAGAGCGTCTGCGTGTTTAACCCCTGAGCTAGGCTGGGAGTGACTTGTTTGAGGTCATCCAACAGCTGAAGTGAGGGCCTGGAATGCAAATGCAGAGTCTGTGTGTTTAACCCCTGAGCTAGGCTCCCCAGAAGGGGCATGGAAAGTTTTCAGTCTCTGAGGGATGTCAGGGCATTTGTGTGAATCGTTAGGACAGGCAACTGGGAGCCCCTTGTGAAATGGGTCTCCGAGAGCATGACCCAGGGCTGGGCGTGCAAACACCGCTCTCTGAGCTCAGCCTCTGTGTGCAAATTCCTGAGATGCCAGAGCACATTCTTACCCACAGAAAACATACCTCCCATTTCCCACCTTCTCTCCCCCACAAAAGAGAGATGCCCAGGGGGCCAAGGGCACCTAGGTGGGTGCTCCCGGAAAATCCATTGGTTAGAGAAAATGGAAGTTAACAGGGCTAGAAGTTGATGGAGACTTTGACCAACCATGGGGGCTTTAGGAAATCTGGAAAAAAAAGGACAACTGTTATACCCGGGCTAAATTCCACACCTCGACTAAACATCTACTTTAAAGTTTAATGACATCTTAAGGGCCAAATTGCAAGATTTAAGTCCTGGTTAAATACTGTCAGGCCATTTGGAGAGGAGACTCTCGCAAAGCTTACACTCCCTGGGGTAGAAATCCCCATGATATGCACCAAATCAAATAGAAACAAGATTAAGTGTAAGTCCTTTAAAACATTTCTCAGTAATCAGATCTGTGATTTCTAAGGGTTTTTTTACACCACATTGGCCGTTTTGTCCTCTTGGCCTTTTATTTTGGAGGATCTGGATTTGATTACGATCTGTGAAGTGTGGTGGACTGAACTCTCTCTGATTCTGGCATCCGGACACAGGGTGGGCATGGGGTGGTGACTGTCACCAGGTCCCAGCAGGTTCAGAAGCATCAGGAACGGGGGCTGCGGCAGTGACACCTGGCCACACAACCAGAGATATGAGTCAAGGCTCAGCTCTTAGTTGGCAGACGTTGGACACGTCATCACTTGGAACCTCAGTCTCTTCTGAAAATGGGAGGGAGGGGGAGAGTCAACAGGGTGACCTCCGAGATCCCCTACGACGGGGCAGTCAGCTATTCTAGAGTCGTTCCTCATGCCTGACACCGAGTGTAAATCTTGTGCTGGAGAATCAAAGCACCGAGGGCAGATCTCTTATCTCAGAGCAGGAACGATAACAGCCCCTATCACTGTATAACAGTATGCAACTCATGGGGCATTTTCATTGCATTGTCTCATGTAATCATCCAAGTAAATATTTCCATCTCCACTCTGCAGATAAGAAAACTTATCTTATCTGGAGGCAGGGGGTGGGGAGCCCATGCAAGGCCACAAAGCTAAAAATTGCCAAAGGAAAGAACCCTGATCTGATTGTAAAGCTTTCCACACTCTTCTCACTCCCATCACAAGTGGCCATGAGGCTATGTTGAGGGATTTTGGAGGTAAAATTCTCAAAGCAAAATTTATTTTCCTACCTGTACTTTCTACCCTGAGACTCACTCAGTTCACCAGTGAACCTGGGCGGGGCCCATCCTGGGACTTGTACATTTCTCAGCCTCCTGCCTCCCTTCACAGGGCTGCCCAGCAATGGTTAATCCACCAGCTCCCACCCACTTTCCCAGAGGGTAAGCTGGAAGCCCCACCAAAGTAATTCCAACCGTGGTTGCAGAACTGCTCTGATGTGAGCCATCTGCTTTGCAGACCCTGGTTGGGCTCAGCACTGAGTCAGTGAGGAAAAATCTGCCCATCTGGAGGAAGGGCTGGAGACCCAGGCTGAACCTCGGCCAGGCTGGCCCTACAGCTAAATACGGCTCTGGAGTTGCTGCTTTCAGCCTCTTCTTACAGGTGATGGCCGTGGAGTGGCCCCAGGAGCCCAGGAGGTCCCAGAGATGAGCTCCTCCTACCTTTGGTTTTCACTGGGCCACTGCTGGGCTTTAACCACTGCCCCCTCAGAGCCCCCCATGGGCCCCAGAGCCTTCAAAGCTCTCAGAGGAAGGTAGCTGCCCTGGCCAGGTTCCCCCATAGGCCCTCGGCTTCCTGGGGGAAGGCTCGAGGCTGCCAGCGCTGTCAGAGCTGTTGAAACCGCACAGCCCCGTGTCTTTGTAACCTGGCCCCTCAGAGGTGGATCACCCTGCCTCTACCCCTAAAAGTCACGTGGGCCCCCAAACACTAGGAGATGCTTGGCTACGGGGTGCCCCTCCCCACAGCCCGGCTCAGCAGAGAGTGGGGAAGGGCAGGGCCAGTGGGAAAAGCGTGCAGGAAGGAGGTTTCCAGTTCCTGCTTCCTCCCCTGCTTACTAGCCTGGGTGACTTTGGGCAGGTTACCCAAGCTCTCTGAGCTTCAGTTTCCTCTTCTATAAAATGGGAATAATGATAATACTCCTTTCCCAGGGCTGTGATGAAAAATGCGATTAATATAGGCAAACACATTGGCAAATTGTAGAGTCCTGAACAAATTCAACCTCTCCCTATTTTCCCATTTTTAAATACTGTAAATAACTTTTTAAATTATATATTTTTCTCAGTGTCTACAATCCATTTTATTTTAATATAATCTAAACACATACCATTTAGAAAATACCAAGAAAAATTTATGTACAAGAGTTGATGCGGTTGCATTGGGATAAAGCTGGCACGTTCTTGCTACTAGCATAGCCCAGGAAACACCACCGAGGAAACCTAATATATTGGAATAGACGTTGCGGTGTTTGGCCCACAGTTTGATAGCTCTCAGGGTTAACCTGAAGTTGTCAGTGTTTGGTACTAGATGTACAATTTCATCGGTTACCCTGCAACCATTAAGACTTCTTACGCATCTTATATTTAAATTTTTAAGCAGGCTGTCATCTCTTAAGCCCAAGTCTCCTGGAATAGTCTGCAGTGCTAATCATGCAAACAAAATATCAATCTCTATCCCATCAGAACACAGTCTGATAACTGGTACAAATGCTTCTTCAACAGCTCTTCAATCTTTTACTTCTTCCTGTAATTTCAACTTATCATAGAATGAGGTGAAAAAATCACTTCGATCAACGTGTCTTGGTGCGACACACACAACACACAACGCATTAATATCGGCACCTTTTGTACGTACTCGTAATCTCTAAGATCCAAATGTAAAACTTTTTCCACCACCATTTTCAGTTACAGATTGTGGAAGATTCTTGCTTTCACTGATTTCTCGTATCCACTCATTTATCAGGTTATTTAATTTTCCCCAAATTAAAAAATCCTGCGCTGCAGTTCCCCTTCCTCTTCAAAAACGCCAAAGGGCTTCAGAGTCTCAATTAGTTTCTGTGTAAGCAGGCAGTCAGTCTCCTTGGGGGCTGCTAAGCTGATGGGAGAGGTAATGCCATAGTGCTTCTGCGGCAGCTGTGTTTGCTGTGATCCCTGCGTTGTAACTGGAAACCGCATGGTCTCCTGCGCGGACACTGCCCAGTCATCTGCCTCCCCCGCTGCCGCCCTGGGCATGACCCACTGAGACGGGGGTGAGGGGTGCCTGCCTCAGCCCTGGATCCAACCCCCTTAAATTATAATTTTTAAAAGCCATTTTAATAGGTGCCTTTTAAACATTTTAATAGACTTTGTTAGAACAGTTTTAGGTTTACAGAAAAATTGAGATGATAGTACAGAGAATTCCAAACACACCAGCCCAGTTTCCCCTACTGGTAACTTCTTACATTATTAAGTGTGGGACATTTGCTACAGTTAATGAACCAGTATTGAT